AAAAAACCCAAAAAAAAAAAAAAAAAAAAAAAAAAATTCTGAAACTGGTACTAACACTGAAGTGACGGTGCCAACCCCCACCCCCTCCCCAGCATTTCTTTATAATTTATATACTGTGGTAGCGTTGTTCAATCGAAAGCGGTACAAAACTTTCCAGGTTTTTCAAAATTCTTTATCAACACATTGATAGCGCATTGACACGAGAGGACAGAGAAATGTTGATGAAAATGAGTTTACCGCTAATAGAAAGTGGTCTTTGCAAGCCATCACCAACCGTACAAGAGCAGAGGACAATACTTAACTCCTCGGTGAGGTGAAACAATCGATGATGAGGGAGGAACTCCCCGGAAAATGAGAGAGGAACTCCCCGAAGAGATGGGACTGTGGGAGGAATGAATCGATGATGAGGGAGGAACTCCCCGGAAAAAGGAAAAATCCAGGCCAATCTGACAAAGCAATGACCACTTTTCATTTCCTCAAAAAGCACAGAGATGCAGTCACCTGCCCAGTAAATGCGCTAATACAAAATTACAAAAATAGAATGAAAAATTGAAAAAAAAAACCACAAACGAAATTGATATGAATGAAAAATATCGCACAATCATAGAAAAAATTCAAAGAAGCAACATGAAATTTATATAATAAAATTTTTCAGAACGATAAAAATTTGAAAAAAAACATACGGTTTGTGACAAGCATTAAAAATGGCACCACAAAATTCATACTAGATGATAAAAAAAAAGGACTAAGAAACTGAGAATACAATAGGAAACTGTAAAAAACATGAAAAAACAATTTAAAAAAGACCAATGATACGAAATCAAACGTTTTTTTCTCCACTGCATTCACAGTTTTTTCTTCTAATTTAATTCCACCTGATTCTGTACACTTTCTGTACCTTATTTCCAATTTTATACCACTTTTTTGTCATTTTTTTAAAGGAAAATCATAAAAAGCGAAATTATGGATAAAATCGCCGATAAGTTCCTCCTGCCACTGGTAAGGCAAGCATTTTTGGGCGCAAAATAACGCGGGGAAAGATGTTTGAAAAGAGTTATGTACATAACAGCTTGCTTCAGAATGCTATAATAAAACTAAAATATTTCCCAGAAGTGGCAATTTTTCACCGAAAAATCATCCAACCAAAAAAAAATATGCATATTTCACCGCTTAAAAAATAGTCATTTCCTATTCGTATACTGTGTATATAGCACAAAAATTCGTTGCGGCCTTCAGCTAAAAGATTCGGCTTTGGGCTGCCCCCAGTCCGCTCACTGTTAAAAGAATTAGCAGTCCCAGACCACGACGAGGTATCTTACCGGCATTCACGATCGAAGTGGAGTTAAAAAATGCTGAATATACAAAAATTTTGCCTTTTACGAACAAAATCATTTCCTATACGGGCACCAAAATAAGTATTCGATTGTGCATATCACTAAAAAGTAAATATTTGACTCGTTCACGAAAATCACAGTTTTGAACGGAATGTAGCAGCAAAGCTGTCCAAATTTTCAAATATTCTTTTGTTTTCCAATGTTCCTTCGATTTTTAGCTTTCCCGATGCGAGAGCCTAAAAACCGGACGTAAACAATCTTTTAGTCTTCATACAGATAAAAAAATGTTTTGCCAGAAAATGAAGAACAATCCAGCCAGAAAATAAAATATGAAAAAAAAAAAACAGAAAAAAACATACTTCTTCAGTTACACGTTGTCCTTGAGTAAGTTGGTCAAAAAGATCAGCGTGAAGTGTAACAACACAATTCGCTTTCCGCCCCCCAAAGACATCACCCTTATAGCATTCCAAAAAATCATCCATATAATCGAATGCTGCAAACGGAAATATTGAATTTTAACCAATTTAGAGAACATATGGAGCAACTCCTCTGACCAGTGCTGACCGATAAAATGCATGACGGTTATTCTAGTCGCGACACTGGCATTTTTTTCGTCTTCTGAACATTGCCCTTCAGCTCAGCGATTTTTTCAGATTTCCTTGATTTGTTTTGGGGAAGATTTCCGCCTCTCAAAAAATGCCAGTCAAGGCACGTCAAAATTCGGTGCCTTATCGGCTGGGAGTTGTGTTCTTCATAGCGAATATGAAATATGGAGGTTTTGACTTTTGAGTTTGACAACTAAAGCAGCTGAATAATAACTCACTGTATCGTGCTAACTCGTCTGACTCGTCCACTATTACGTATGTGATCGCGAGGCCAATGTCCCGCTTGCATTCCAGGTGTCCCAGTTCCCTTGCGAGAATCTAAAAAGCACTAGAACTTCGTTAAATGCTTCGCTAATAATAACTTTATGCTTTTTGCAATTATGTACAGTACAAAAACACATACTGACAAGACTACTGCTGCCGCCCATTCCAAGTCTGATAATGGCTGAAATGAAATTCTGGGAACTCAATCCCTCCCAGCGTAATAGCTTGTTGAATCCCAATATCAGCCCTGTGATTTCCTTTTGAATTAATAATCTTAACAGAACGTGTACCAAATTTTGCAGATTTGCTTCCTAAGGACAGAACTATGCAAAACACATCCGGATGTACGTGGTGCGCATTGTGATCCCAGGACTGGCCCAATTTTTTAGTATAATTTCGTAAAGTATTTTAAGCTGTAAAACATGATAAACGCAATGGCCAGTAATAAAATGACCACGAAAATTGTCGAGAACGACCTGGCTTTTTTTGCTAAAGTCATATTTTCTTACTTTTTCCTTTTTTTTTTTAATTGTCAACTTCTTAACATTCAAATTCTTAACTTTTTTTGTTAACAAAAAAATCCTTTTAACAAAAAAAGACTGATAATCATATTCAGAAGCAAAACTGCCCGCCCCTCTCTCCGTCCTCCCCCCTCCCCTTCCTGCAATCTCCGTTCCCCATTCCTAGACTGTGGAGGAGAGAAGCGCTGGGAAAAAGCTCAGATGGTAGCATCTGCAAATGGAGCTCACACTCGCTAGCAAGGCTAAAACAAACAGTTGGCGATTTTTGCTAGAATATTTTGAATTTGTAAAAAAATCAGAACTGAACTGATCGAAAAAAAAAAAACATATGCGCAAACCTCGAACATTTTATCGTAATTTCTTTGTTTCTTTTCCAACTTCACACTTTCACTGGCCATCGTCACTTCGCTCTAAAAAAGCCAAATTGATAGAATATTTCGAAATTCAACCTGTAAAATAAGCCTAGCTCTAATACAAGTCTGAGAGACTGAAACATTAGGCCAAAAATTGCTCTGCATCACACTGAATCTCCAGATTCGATCTGCTGCGATGCACTACTTTGCACTACATTGAGTTTCCAACCAGAAAATTCTTCCTCAACGTTGAGTTCCTTACCGGCAAATTCTTGCCCGTCCAGATCTTTTTTGAGGACGGGCATCCCAGTGCTCAACCAGGCATGAGTATGAAAATAGTAAAAAAGCGCAAATTTCAATAAACCCAAGAAAAAAACTGAACGAAACAAAACTTACTTGTTCTGAGCAGTTCAGTAAATCAGCAGTAACTTCTGAAAATTCATAATCAACGTATAAACAGTGTTTTTTGAGCAAATCTGAGATAGTATAACTACATT